TATCTCACGACACCTTTTTGACTCTTCTCGCATGATAATCTAGAATGTTGGCCAATGGACATCCTCATCCTTCATTTTATAATCTCTCGACACCTTTTATTATCTCTCGACACCTTTTTGACTCTTCTCGCATGATAATCTAGAATGTTGGCCAATGGACATCCTCATCCTTCATTTTATTATCTCTCGACACCTTTTTTTATCTCTCGACACCTTTTTGACTCTTCTCGCATGATAATCCAGAATGTTGGCCAATGGACATCCTCATCCTTCTGCCAGCTCCATTCAGAGGAGCATAGCACTGTTGGGCTGATGATACGTGCTTGGAATACAGCTCTTATAACATTCTGAATTAGTTTAATTATGCTTTTGGAAATATTCTCAAGTTGGCGGTTTCCGGGCCTGATAAATGCTTTCATAATTATGTTTTGTAGTATGAAAGAACATAAAAGATCCCGAAATCATCCATATGGTATTTGTGATAGGTAATTGAACATGGGTCAATTTGTCTCATGGATCTTCACTCCAGACTTCATATACAGTCTTCATGTTTGTACCACAAAATGCTTAGACAGTGTCACAACCGGAGAGAGCATAAAGTAGTAAGAAATCGCAATGTGTGAATGCAGTATTGATATGATCGAGTTTGAGGTTATTGTTGCATTTATTGTGGTATCATTTATAGTATTAACGCCGCAACGATGAAAAGATACACGTCATTTGCCTGCATTTTAACACTTTTACTATAGGTAAATAAACAATATAGATAACAAATGCAAAAAAATGCCCTTTCACACATATATCGGAATTAAAGTTTAACATATTAATGAGTTTTGCATGTTTAAAGTTAAACATATTGATAAGTTTTGCATGTTTAAAGTTAAACATATTAATAAGTTTTGCATGTTTAAAGTTAAACATATTAATGAGTTTTGTATGTTTAAAGTTAAACATATTAATGAGTTTTACATGTTTAAAGTTTAACATATTAATGAGTTTTGCATGTTTAAAGTTAAACATATTAATGAGTTTTGCATGTTTAAAGTTTAACATATTAAT